GTGGTTGTGGAGAAAATAGGAAGGAAGAGTTGCTTTATAAAAATAATCAATGCAGGATAAAAATTAGATTACTTTTAGTGACTTTTTTGGGTTTTTTTACTGTGACCGCTCTGGCCAACACTAAATGAGGTTGTCTGCTCTCCAGAGAGTGTACATCATCTACATGCACACATCAAAATAAATTACATTGAAATCATATAATAAATTAAAATAAAATAAATACAATAAAACAAGTAAACCAGCAAAGGGGCAGAGAGAGATTAGCAAGGCCAAGGACGGCCGTATGACGAAGAAGAACCTCCAGGCGCTGGTGGCCTAGACCAGGGATCTCCAAGCTTGGCCCCTTTAAGGCTTGTGGACTTCAACTCCCAGAGTTCTTCAGCCCCTCCAATCTTGGCCACTTTAAGAGCTTTGCTGGCTGAGGAACTCTGGGTATTGAAGTCCCCACCTTCTCCTGACCTCTGGCTGGTCATCGCTCTCAAACAAAGCCGCGCCACTCCTGACACACTCACGCTTGCCCACCCGTGATCTCCCCCCCTCAGCAACCCACCCACCCACCGCCCCCCCCCGGGGCCTCCTCACCTTGGCATTGCGCAGCAGCACCGAGGCGCCTCTCTGGATGAGGAGCTCGGCCACCTCGAAGTGGCCGCAGTTGAGGGCGTCGTGCAAGGGGGTGATGCCCTCGCAGCCCGGGCCCCCGGGGTCATCGATGCTGGCGCCGTGGTCCAACAGCAAGCGGACGGTCTCTGGAGGAGGCAAGGAAGTTCGCGTCCCAACACTGTCCTCCGTACGGAATAACAGGGTTGGAGGGCACCTCGGAGGTCTTCTAGTCCAGCCAGGAAATCTTATATACCGTTTCATACCGGTGGCTGCCTACTCACCCACAATTTCTGGAGGCCAGCTGTTCCACTGGTTAATTGTCCTCCACTCTTATGGAGTTTCCCCTTAATTTTCAGTGGCTTCTCTCCTTGACTGGGTTTCCATCAAAATGGCAATATTAAAGAATTGGAAGGGGGACCTTGGAGGTCTTCTAGTCCAACCCCTGCTCAAGCAGGAAACCCCTACACCGTTTCAGACCAACGGCTGTCCAACCTCTTGTTAATAACCTGCAGCGTTGGGGCACCCAAAATGCTGGTGGCCAGCTGTTCCGCTGGTTAATTGTCCTCACCGTTGGGAAATTCCTCCTTAATTCCGGGTTGCTTCTCTTCTTGGTTAGTTTCCATCAAAAGGACAGAAAACAAGAATTGGAAGGGACCTTGGAGGTCCTCTAGTCCAACCTCCTGCTTAAGCAGGAGACCCCATACCAGTGGTGGTTAACCTTTTGGGGCTACTATGCCAAAAATTGTGCACGTGCTGGCACGCTCATGTGCCAGCACCCTGAAGGCAATGCGCGCCCCCCCCACACCCCCTACGCATGCGCTTGCAACCGCCCCCACCCCATTACCTGCACTGTGCCTCACAGCTGATTTTCAGCTGGTTTGAGGCCTTTTTCGGCCTCCCAAAGGAAGGCTTCTGCAGGCTTCTGCAGGCCGAAAACTAGGCCTGTTTCGCCACTTCCCGTTTTTCCGAAAATACCAGAAGTGATGAAATGAGGCTAGTTTTCGGCCTGCAAAGCCTGCAGAAGCCTTCCTCGAGCCTCTGGAAGGCCGAAAAACCCGCCGAAAATCAGCTGTGAGGCACACGCATGCGCAGTGAGATACGTTTGCCTGCAGCTGGCGTGCCGGCACCAATGGCTCTGTGTGCCACCTCAGGGCCCTATACCAAGGCTCTTCAAACTTGGCGAGTGTAAGACTTGTGGACTTCAACTCCCAGAATTCCTGAGCTAACATGACTGGAGGAGGAGGAATTCTGGAGGAGGAATTCTGGGAGTTGAAGTCCACAAGTCTTCAAGCTGTCAAGTTTGAAGACCCCTGCGCTAGACCATTTCAGACAAACGGTCGTCCAGTCTTAAAAACCTTCAGTGTTGGAGCAGCCACAACTTCTGGTGGCCAGGTGTTCCACTGGTTAATTGCCCTCCCTGTCAGGAAATTCCTCCTTAATTCAATATTGCTTCTCTCCTTGATGAGTTTCCATCGGTTGCTTCTTGTCCAGAACCCCCTCCCCGGTTTTCAGTCTCCGCTTACCCAGGTGCCCATGGTTGCAGGCCTCGTGAAGAGGGGTCCATCCGCAATAATCCCGGGGATTTACTGGATGCTCCTGGCACAGAAAGAGGAAAGGAAGTTTGAAGGTTTGGGCAAAAAAAAAAGGACCTTTTTAAAAAATTCAATCCGAGTTTGCACTATCGCTCTGTTGGAAACTCTTCTCGTAGGTTTTAATTTCATTTCTCCTTCCAAGCGGGGAGGCCCAGTTCTGACTAACTTGGAAGCAGGAAGGGAAAAGGTTCCTTATGCAGGAATTTCACAGCCTCCTTTCTGAATATTAATTCTAAATCAGAGATGTCCAACTTCAGGAACTTAACGATCTGTGGACTTCCAATTCCCAGAATTCCCCAGCCAGCTAAGCTGGCTGGGGAATTCTGGGAGTTGGAAGTCCACCTCTTAAAAGTTGCAAGGTGGGATGTATTGTATAATTGGTTAAACAATAAGTACAGAGATTAGTGTATAACAATGAAAAAAAGATTAACAGAATAGAAATCAATACAGTAATAATGAAATATGATAAGAACAAATGATGTAAGGCAATATCACTATTGGATTGTATGTGAATATAATTAAAAATGCACACAGTGATAAATGTAATAGCGTATTATGGCATAAATAAGAAAATGATAGTTATAATCATGATGTACAACATTATGTAGTCAAAAGAGATTATACCGTATGACAGTTACAATCAGGATGTAAACTGTGATGTAAAAAAAAAAAGGACCTGATAGACTCAGTACACTGAAGTTGTAAAATACGATGAACAATAATCAATAAACAATAATCAATAAACAATAATGATAATCAATAAACAATAATGATGATCCAAGCTCTGTCAAGGACCTTGGAATACTCACCTCTAATGATCTAAGTGCTAGAGCCCACTGCAACTACATAGCCAAAAAGGCATTAAGAGTTGTTAACCTAATCTTACGTAGCTTTTTCTCTGGTAATATCACACTACTAACTAGAGCTTACAAAACATTTGCTAGACCAATACTCGAATACAGCTCATCAGTCTGGAACCCACATTACGTATCTGATATTAGCACAATTGAGAAAGTCCAGAAATATTTCACAAGAAGAGTTCTCCACTCCTCTACTCGTTGTAGAATACCTTATGCCACCAGACTTGAAATTCTAGAACTAGAAAACCTTGAATTACGCCGTCTTCGGTCTGATTTAAGCATGGTATATAAAATCATACATTGCAATGTCCTACCTGTCAATGAATACTTCAGCTTCAACCATAACAACACAAGAGCACACAACAGATACAAACTCAAGGTTAACCGCACCAAACTTGATTGCAGGAAATACGACTTCAGGAACAGAGTGGTCAATGTCTGGAATACTCTACCCGACTCTGTAGTTTCTTCCCCAAACCCCAAAAACTTTAACCTTAGACTGTCTACTATTGACCTCACCCCTTTCCTAAGAGGCCTGTAAGGGGCGTGCATAAGCGCACCAATGTGCCTACCGTCCCTGTCCTATTGTTTCTTTTATTTTTCTTTTATTTTTCTTATATGTACCCATTTCATGTATTCATAATTATGTATACACTTATACTTATTATCTTGTAAACAATTGACAAATAAAATAAATAAATAAATAATGAAAAAATGTACAATAAAAATGTTTTTTTTTAAAAAAGTTGCAAGGTTGCACACACCTGCCCTAATCGGCAACGCCCGCAAAGACTGAAAATGCATTTTGTTAGAATGCTGGCTGCCTGGGGAATTCTGGGAGTTGAAGTCCACAGGTCTTAAAAGTGGCCAAGGTTGGACAACTCTGCGCTACAGGTTGGTCATTTGAAGAACTGTTTTGGTCAACTGTGAAGTGTGAGCTTAGGGGAAAAACGGGCTGTTCCTTCACGCTGGCACCTGTCCTCCCACCAACTCTCATGCTTCTCCAGTCTAGGCGAAGGCAAAAGATTTTG